ATTCGTAATGCAATAACCGCAAAGCGAAACGAATGAATGCGCAAGATAATTTCACATTCGCCGTAGGAAATCACGAAACATAGCTTTCGTGAAAATGACATCCCTGAAGCGAGTTAAATTAAAAGTAATGAAATTTAACGTAGTAAAATTAAATGAAATGGAGAATTTTGTTTATTAAAGGCATATATGTTGGAACTCGTCGAATTAAATTCGCATCTTGGAATAATTAGCCCCATATTTTGTTTATTATGAATATTTATAACAATAAAATATTTTATCCCAAAATTTTCACAGATTATAGAATATACATGCTGCGATATTTAGAATATAATCAGCTTGCATATTAGTTAAATATAACACATTTAGGACATGTCTAGTAAAGATTTTACAGCATATCCTTCTTTCTTTTACAGTATACCCTTCGGCAAAGCAAAAGAAAGATATATATTATTATAAGAGATTCGCATTTCCTTTTAGTTTCTATTCTTCCTAGATATATTATGGTAATCATATGATAGTATATCTGCGGTATTATATTCCATTTTTCTTTTTAGGTTTGCAATAACTTATATAAAATATCGAAAGTTTTTTAAAATGAGATCTTTTTCTAAAAACAAGTACAAAATGAAACGAGTTCTTCAAGGTTTTGCTCCCCCATTTCTACAAGATAGTGTTTGAACAAATCCGCGGATAGCCGAGAAAGTCTTCCGTATTTGAGTTCTTTTCCATTTCTATCTCTGGAGAATTATATAAAAGATGTTACAATTCCCACAGCAGCTATCCAACAAAAATAACAAAATTTTCATATTGTGGAAAATAATCATACAAGGATAAACTTGCATTGGCATTGTTATAATAACTAGATATAATGAATTAAACCTAATGGAATCTGTAAATTTTATTTTTAATTTTATATCAAGTTACAATCTGCAAATTGCAAAAAAGATTAGATTTTCATTTACTCATAATTAAATAATTAATTAATAGGATTTATGTCTGACATAATTGCAAAAATTTGTAAAAACACGATATATATTTATAACATGCGAAAATTCCCAACAGATTATATTTACAAATATATTAGAGATTAAGAGTATGCTAGCATCGTTAATATATATTGAATATGCTTCGTGCATTGGAATTCAACGGATAATGCGTATATCAATGCGAAAGAATCCCGAGAAACATTAATGACGCGAATAATTATTCTAATATCTCAGGGATGCTGCAGATTCTAGTTTCTCTCAGCACTTAAGATAGACGGATTGTGCAATTTTCCCTCTCGCTCGGTTTACCTGATTTTAATTAGTTTAGAAAAGAATTAGCGAACCTGATTCTCTCTCTCTTTTTAGTGCAGGAGATTAACATATATATGCATATATATGCATATATTTAATAATGTGATATAAAAATCCTAATCACATTAATTTCAACATCTTGCTAACTAATTATTAATTTCCTGTTACAGAATCAATATTTCGACGCTAACACAGGATTTTCTAACGAAATAAATGAAAAGGAGACTCTTAAAATTAATTACGCGAAGCATATTGCAAATATAATGTATCATTTACATTTTACTGATATAATTGCACTTTAATTGCAATTTATGTCATAAACTTGACACATTTTCTTATACTAGCTATTTCTGGAAGATCTAAGCTTTTTACAACCCTCGCGTTATATCTGCTATTCATTTAGAATTGATGATACAATAAACCGCATACTCTCTGCAAAATCTTATAAGTATTTTGATTTCCATTTTATATCCTCTGTAGTAGCATACAAATGACTCCAATTTGTTGAAAGCATTGAAAGCAGAAATGTGCGGAATCGAAAACATAATAACCGAAACCTATACTTTCGAAGTGAATATCAATGAAAATGGAGAGATCGCAATAAATATATATAATATATATATATATATATATGTACACACACACACACACACACACGCCGTGTAAAAGCTTATAAAACTAAATAATGTGCAGTATCTGTCAAGTTTATTAAATAAAAATAGGGCATATATGAACCGCACGGGATAATGTCTGTGAGAAAAGCTTCAGATTGACGCAGCAACGCTCCGCGAGTTTACAAATAATAAAAGCTTAATGATTAAGGCTTTATTTCATAAAACAGAGCTTGCTGTTGACGGCACCGGTATTTAACGTTTTAATTCCGTGGAGACCCCCAGGCAGTCAAAGTAGAAAAAGGAGGCGGCCGGCAGCCACCTGTGACTCTTGCCGAAAGGGCTACGGGTCTAGTTGATAGTGAAAAAGATAAAGGTGAAAAAAGTGAGGCAGAAAGAGTGGAAAGGGGTATCCAACAGTATAAACCGCACAAAAGCGAGTTCTTTCCTTCTCATAATCCCTTCGCGGACGTAGGATGCAGAGTAAATTACGATCACGTCCCGCGTCGCCGTAACAGCGACAACACGCTTTTTCATCTCGCGCGGATTGTAAATACCATCGTACTGCTCGATAAAATTTCATTACACATCTCATTCGCCCTCTGCGAAATAAGATTAAATAAAATTAACCTATATCCATATAAATTTTCATCGAAAGAGAAATTTTGCATTTGTAGAAGTTGAATGAATCGGAAGGACAAAACTATTGACACGATATTGTTGTTTCTCTTTGCTGTTTCTTGTTTTTAATTAAAATATATTAAAAAATTTGTTATTAATATAAATATAAATTTATTTATGAATTTTTAAATATAAATTAATTTATGAAAAAGACAAAGTCTTCAAGTGAAAGATAATGTTTTCAAATTTGATTAATCTGCAATCAAAAAAATTTTCTTGTGATAACAATTAAAAGCATATACAATTCATATTTGGTCGTTGTTCGTTAATACATACAAATGTAAAATCATACGCGTTTGAATTGTTCAGTGTAATTAATTATCTTTTAATAATTATTTAAACATAAAATGTAATAACTAGTTGGATGCAAATCCATGCAAATTTTCATCAAAAATAGATTTCTGTGAATGTATTTTCCATAGAAATCTTTAACGATAAATGCTAAAGTAATATCGCTATTAATTAATATGTAATATGTAAATGTAAAAAATATATATATCTGAATATAATTAATTTCCTCAATATCAATACAATTTTTCCTACAAGGGAAGATAAGCAAAGTGGTTTGCGTAAATTGGAATTAACATTATTGTTTATCAATACTTCCACTTATAATAAATTTAAATATGGATATGTATAACAAAATATTTTCCATATAATAAGAACTTTGTTAATGACAAAAGGACAAATATTTTTCTTAATTAGAAAATGTAAATGTATTAAAATTGTTACAATTAATCACAATTAAAATCATACTTATTAACAATTACGCGAGCATTTTTTAAAAATAAAGATAAAATAATGATAAATAATGATAAATAATGATAAATAACGACTAATAAAGATAAAAAAATGAGAAAACAAAATAAACGAGATAACATAAGTTTAAAATAAAATGATAAGGATTGACGCGATCTATAGAAAAATATTCTTGAAATTAAAATTTGTATATAAAAGACATATATCGATTTAATTTCATTACTGGCATATTAATATGTTTAATTCGGATGTTATATTGTATTTATTTCCCATGTGCGTTTGTCGCAAAAAATCCCCAGCACGCCATAGCTCCCATTTTGCATATTTCTATGGAATGAACTCAATTCCGCGATGTTTCTGAGTTTTGTTAATTCCCGTAGATAACTTTATTTTTGCATAGGAATATATAATTTTAATTAATATCCTTGAGTTTGATTACAATTAAAATAATTAAAACATTCACAATTTAATATGTATTTCGATAAATATTATTTTTATAACAATGCAAAAATATTTGAAATATTTTAAAGTGCATATTGAAGATTAAATATTGATGATTAAATATTGAACTATAATCGTTCAGTTTTTATTTTAGAATTATGTACTCGTTGATTTCAAAAAGTTTTTCTGTTCAAACTTATTTCACAGATATTCTTATATAGTTCGATATAAATGATACATTTTTTTTCTTAAAATGCTCGTAGTAATAGATTAAATCTGAAAATAATAAATTGATATAAATATTGTCATGAAGGAAATGTAGCATTATTAATGATTATAATTAACTTTAAATGACACAGAGATCCATTGTGTTGTCTATTCTCCTGTCTAATCCTTTTCTATTGATATTATTAGTATTACGTATTGATAAAAATATATTTTAATTATTATAATATATTTTGTTTACTTATTGACCTAAAAAGTCATCGAGACTTTCTACTTCGATATTTATAATCAACATATCGGATTTCTTAACATAAAGCATGAAAGCTATGGCCTCAATAAAAGTCGCTGTTCTAAACGGAATATTCCAATTATCCTCGGAATGTCTCCATAGTAATACTATTTACTTCAATTTCCAGTCCATTTGGTAGTCCAAATAACATTATACCGGGTATATTTCATAAATTGATATTGTCCGTCTCATAATTTGATGTTGCCAATGAAATCTCATATTCGGCACGTGTAAATAAGTAATAATAGAACAGTTCCTCATCTTTCAACAGAAAAATTTCAACTCGAATCACGGAGCGAGCGAAAGACTGCGATTTCCCCGAGGAGGATGGGAGTTCCCGCGAGAGCGCAACGTAAGCGGGGTAAGTGAATGAAGAAGTCGGTGACGTGCGACGTCGTTGAGTGGAAAAACGTGATTATTTCGAAGCGACGTTGATCGCGACTGATCGATCTCGAGGAACTACCACCGACTCGTTTCTGACTGCGGTCAGGAATCGCTGCGGAGAATCAAATTAATATCCTTCAGACGAAGGAGGAGCACTTTGACAGGCGCGGCAACGGGGGCGGGTAAGGCGACCGTATTGGATTTCCAGGAGGTGGACGAGACTTCGATCGACCTCCTGGGTGATGCCATCCTGAGGCAACGACATTCTTACAGTCATGCTCTAAGTCACCAGAGTGCGACCGGCTGGAAAATATGGCCGATCTCGAAAGGATCAGGCTGGTGGTACTCGGCGGCGCCGGGGTCGGCAAAAGTGCCATTATACGCCGACTACTCGGTCAAGGCTTCAGCGAGCGATACCGGCCCACCGTGGAGGATCTGTACTCGCGAGAATGCATTCTTGGCACTCTGACGCTTAAAGTCGATCTTCTGGATACCGCGGGTGAGATGAATATCTTTCCTTTTCCCTTTATTGGTTGCGTTCAACAGACTCAACAGTTGAGTGAGAGAGCTCGCTATTGATGTATTCTTCTAGATCTAAAATTCTGATTGAATAATCTAAAAGAATGCACCAATAACAGCGAGCGCTCACTCAACTATTGAGTCCACTGAATACGCCCATTGTTAGAATGTATGAAACACGTCAATTTTCTATATCAATGATTTTTAAATAATTTAAAAAAAAAACAAAAGATGTGTGTGTGTGTGTGTGTGTGTCGGGGGAGAGGCTGTAATCACAAAAATTCACTAATACTTTTTTCTGGAAAATTATTTTCATAATTTCCTTTTCACTAAATAATTTATATAGAGATAAAAAAGATTAAAAATATAAATTTGTTTAGCTTTAACATGATTGAACTACTATTTCGCAAAAATTGTGATAATGCTTTTATTAAAGGATCATATCATTTTAATGTAATAACCGTTTTATGTTGCACTTATGCAATAATTCAATACTTAGGTTAATTGAGTTGGTTTTAATTAATTATTATGTTATACACTTAAGTTGTAATAAAAATCTCAGTATAATTACACTGTTAATTAATCTATCATTTTAAAATTTCGTATATTTCCGGATCTGCTCAGAAAAACTCTAATAATAAGTCTCATAAGTGAAAAATTAATTCTATATTTTTTAAAAGCCATTTCCTCTTAAAATGTGAAATGTTTCCCTCCTCATCGAATCTGCTATGCAATATAACGAAAAATATTAAATGATACGTGATACTACGTATACACATTCTCAATATGATGAAACAGAATACTGAATGTTTTGATTGAAAACGAAAGAAGCTTGGATCTCTCTCTTGCCGGAATCGGCAGTATCAAATAAACGTAACTCAGTAGCGTTCAATATAGTTGTAGAAATGTGTTCGTGTACCAAAAAAAGCATCCTTGATCTAATCGAGATTGCGCAAAGATATATCCCAATAACTTTTTAGCGAGAGAGCAACGAAGTTTGTATCGGAAAAGCGGTGAAATAAATGCGCTATACATATGTATCATAAATAAATAGAATGACTTATTTTTCGTATGTAGTAAAAATTTATCAGAAATAACAGCATGCTTTTGGGCGACATTTATAAAAATATCATGAAAAAATAGTTGTTAGTTTGAAATATTTCAACATATCTTTTGAAAAGAATTGAAATAAAAAGAATTAAGCTCGAGAAGAGAATAAGAGAAATAATGAATAAAAAAAAAAGTTATTTTAGATTCTTTTTTAAGAATTACTTCAAGTATTACGCGAAGCAACAATGCGCGATTTTTTTAGATGTGTAAGAAGATTTTTCTCGTAAACATCCATTAAATCAAATAAATTTTGATTTTATTTCTGTAGGTGATCTGCAGTTTCCTGCAATGAGGCGATTGAGCATAGCCACCGCTCACGCATTCCTACTCGTATACGCGACATCATCCTTACCAAGTTTCGAGTGCGTAAAACGTTGCTTCGAAGAAGTAAGAGAACAACGACCCGACTTCCAGGTGCGAATTCCAAAATTACTCATGTTAATTCTCTCGTGATTTATCTCGTAAAGTTTATCGAATATTTAGCAGAATTACTCTTATCAATCTGCGATTTAAATTAGATTCCTCTATCTTTGGAATAGTGTGAAATATTAATTTGCTGTTCTCAATATTTATAACTTTGCACAATATCTAGAGCCGATAAGAAAGCATTATCATGCGGCATTTTTTAAAAATCGATTTTATTAGTTACACTTTAGTGGAGAAGAAATAATAATGAAGACATCTTTTCTTTTCAATAGGAAGTACCGATAGTTATTGCCGGAAACAAACTTGATCTAGCGCCAGCACGAAGGGAGGTACCAATCGAGGACGTGAGTGAATGGTTATTTTGCGAATTGCCGAAACTTCGCGCTAAGGTGATGGAATGCTCGGCAAAGGATGACTACAACATTAAGGATGTATTCAGATGTTTCGTCACACTTTCCAAGATCGTACCGAAAAATCCCACTGGCGAGGTCGAGCAGTCGGGGCTCAGAAGAAGGTGTTCAGCATACGGATCACGCAGGTATCGTAACACTAACTATTCCCTACATACGAATAAATATCATTGAACAATAAAGCATTTGTGTTTTCATATATATTATAATATATAATAAAATATATATTATAATATGTAAATGTCATTTTAAGAATTAATTTAAAAAAATTTATTTCAACTTTTTTTTAAAGAAAAGTATCAACTTCAAAGCGAAAAGTTTTCGAATTATAAACTATATTATAAGAAAATGTGTAATGCTTCTCATTTTTTAATTGACAAAATTTTTAATTTAAAAATAGTTAGTTTATCAAGATATTTCATATATTAAGGAATATTTCAAGAATTTAAATTTCTGGTTGAACTTCATTCATTTTTCTTTTCAAGAAAAAAACTAGTATAAACTCATTCTTAATGTAAATTCTGTACTACAATAATTGTAATCATTAATGTCGAATGTAACATTAAGATTTATTCGTTTAAAGGTTGTTGCTTAGCATTAACTACGATAATTAAATAATTTTTCGTATTGTATCTATCATAAATAAAATCGTAATCTCGAAAGATACAATGCATCGTCAGGCTTATTTAATCCAGATTGATGCAAGCAGGTTTAAAATGAAGATCTGATGTAAAATGAGAACTGAGAATTGTGAGAGGCAAGTTTCGCGTCAAATGTAGGGTGAGAATTTAGAGGCAAATCAACGTAATAAACATTATTAAATTTTTTCCTTGTTTTAAATTAAAAATGATGAATATGTAGGGAAATAAATTTGTATAAATAATAACGATGGATGAAGTTATCACCCATTAATTACTTATAATAGTTCTTTCTATTCAAAAAATATTAAATATTTTTACTACGAATATAAAAATTGTAAAGATTACTAGATGTTTAATTCATTATTTTTTGATATCAAGAAAAATTTATAGAAATCCGAAAAGAAACTTGTTGGATTACGTAGTAAACTAGATTACATGTACTAAACTAGATTACGATTATGTAATTTCTGTAATATATGTATATACATGAAGATAATTCCAATCACTTTAATCGTATTCGCAAACCCGCCATTTAGTCGCGCTTCATCTATCAGCAGCATGTATTAACGAAACAGATATTTAATCTAAAAGATTTTCAACGCACTTCAATGTCACTAATTATACCAATGTCAAAGTAGATCAAATATGAACATAATTGAATTCGATGTAGTTTCAATATCGTTTCAGATCATCTATTACTCTTGAACATTATTATTTATATTCGATAGTACTCTGGCTTGTACTTTGCATTGCTTGATTCTTTTTATTCATTACTCTTATACGTTAGTGTATATATATTATGATAATGTTACGATAAATATGTTACCAACAAGAACACTACTTAATATAGACACGCCGATTTTGATAAAACTTTTAATTAAAGTACTTGCAAAATAAAGAAACACTATCCATTTTATCGGTAATTATCTAATGTTTAGAAAAAATTAGAATGTTTATGGAAAATTGACAAAAGTCCAAAAAAATGTTGAAAAAATTACATCGTTTTGCAACATAATAAGTAAATAGTTATTTCCGATTATTTTTACCTATTAAACACGAATTTGAACTCTAGCATTCTGTGCAAACGTCCTTAGACCATCGAAATTATTTAAAGCATCAATTTCATGGGAACTTATTTAAAGCACTCAAGATCCAACTTCGATCGATATAGGTGTTACTTCTTATTTATTGTATTCATCTTAAACGGTCCTAAAAAATCAATTATTATTGCATGTATAAGAATTACGAATTTACGAATATATATGTTTTCAATAATTGAGAAAAAAACTTTACATATTTCGAAAAATCATAATCATAATTTTAAAAAATAATTTCAAATGTATATAATGCATTTTCTCTTCAGCTTATTTAGACTTGAAAAAACGTCTAGACTCAAATTGTATATTTTAATATCTTAATCAAAATGTGTAATATTGTATTTAAATATTTACTTTCGCCTTATAACTCCATTTATTCAACTTATATAATTAATTGCGCGCAATTTAATAGAGTGCCAAAGAGCTATCATAGAATATTATTTTCAAATCTTAAATAATATTTACATTCCTTCCAATTATTTGCTGTCTTTTATTTAAAATTTCCTTTTGGAAAAATTCTCTTCTTAAGTCGTAATAATCATGTCTTCTTAAAAAGAAATATACTTAAATTAATAAAAAATTAATATTAAATATAAATTATTAATATTAAAAGAATCCTTCATCTAAATTAATAAAAATGTAAAATAATGCACGGCGCAAAGGGCTATTGTACGTAACTGAACACCAAAAATTCGAAGAAAAAATGCAGCGTTAAATTAAGTCAACTACAATTTTATAATTACATTAAAAAAAATTGTTCATTTGACTAAATTAATTTAATTTGTTTTTATTTTTTTCATTGAAGAATATATATATATATATATTACAATATATACATTCTCCAATGAAAGAAATAAAGACAAATTAAATTAATTTAGTCAATTGAATAATTAATTTAATAAATGAACAATTTTTTTCAATGTAATTACAAAATTGTAATTGACTTAAATAAATTAAATATGACTGAAATACGTACATTTTTCATCAAAAGACATAAAGATGAACCAAATTAATTTAGACAAATAAACAATTTTTTTTTCTTAGTGTATTTCTAACCCTCATCTATTATTCTTTTATTAAATGAAAGGTCCGGCAGCCCTAGCGGCAGAACCGGTAGCGCGGGTCCCGGTGGAAATCTCCAGCAAGTGGTCGCAGCTCAGGGTCCTAGCGTTGTCAGCGTTACTGAAGAGGTAAAGAGCAAACCACGTAGTCGCAGCCTAATCAGGCGCACTTCAAGAAAAACGAAACAGCAGATCAGAGATGCCCGTGCCGACGACTGCAACATATCCTAAATCTGCTATCTCGACAGAGAAACGAGTTTTTTTCACGACCAAGAGTCTGCTGGTCCCGATTATTGCGAAGGAACAACGAGCAATCGAATTTTTCTGATTAAGTGCGTTAAGGTAAGACGCGAGCTGATGTTCGCAATTTGGAAGGAAACAAGTTTTTTCATGTCAACTGAATAACGGATTAACTTTTGTTGCTTGCTCCGTCTTAATCCACGGAATTTTGAAAAGCAAGCGTGATAAAATGGATAAATAAAATGAATAATTCCAGAGGAAGTCTAGCTCGAAATTCGAAAAGATACGACTTCGTAAGATTTATACCAGAAAGTATGTGTATCGATAACAAAAAAGTATTATTATTATCATTAAATTTGAGAAAAAAAGATTAAATTTGAAACGTTAATTTTCCCTTGGCAAATATTTAATACAAAATATTAAACATCATGATAAAATCTCTAATATCTTTTTAAATCAAAATAAAATAATTTTTTATATGGAAATTGTAAAATAATTAAATAACTTATTCAATTTTTGTTAAGAAAAATGCGAACACAAATTGTAAAAAATTTTTTGCTATCGACATACATCTTTTTTGGAATATCCCTTGTATATATTTACGTATAAATTAACGTATGAATGTGAAATTGATGTTTAATGATGGATATATAATTGTTTCAACGAATGGATGAACTCTTATATTTCTTCGTGTAAATATTCCTGATTTAAAGTAAAAAATTACATTATTCAGGGTTATATTTTATATGCAACGTTTTATTGCGATTGTTTTTATATTCCGAAAAGTATAATGTATGTATATGGAAAACGATATGATTTTATTAAATATGGAAAAGTTTATTTAACAAGAAATACGTGATTCATGTAAAACAAGAAAAACCGCACATATCGCTTTTCTAATATATATATATATATATTAACTCATAATTTAAAATCACGTACACACGCGTACACACTAATCGTATCTATGAATTTAAAAGCGCATCTCTTAAAAAAATAATGACTTTAAAGTATAAGTTTCTTTCGAAACATTTGCAAAATTCGGAAAACGAATTTTCTTGCAACAAGCATCTGAAAGTTTGCAATATGGAAATAAAAATTAAAATGAAATAAAAAAATGTCAATTTAAAAAATACGGTTCTTTAAGAAATCTTTTTTATTATTTAAACAAGGAACCAAAACATATATCTCTTTTGATATTATTTAAATATAAAGTTAGCGAAAAAATTAAAAATTATTATTTAAAATAATTATTAACAAAAATATTCAGCGATACAACAAACATTTAAAATAATTTTAACAAAAATTAATATCAGTACTTACTTATTTAATTAATATCTGTCTTACTAAGATATAAAAGTTATGCAAGGAGAGATGCATTGTGCTTAAATATGTTTTAAAAATTTGATTGAAAATTTATAAAATGTAAATTGAAAATTTATTTCGTAATATACACGATGCACATCTGCACGTAAATATTTTGTTCGTGTTAAAGTTTCAGTTGCAAGTACTGCCGTCGGATAAAAAGAAATTCGTTTGTAAATTACAGGATGCGTAATAATCAAAGTACCTTTTTCTGCTACCTTTCTAACTTAACTATATTATCAGATATACTTTTCTCTTTCAAAGCTTATAAACTAAAGAGTTACTGTAATAAATTGTGTAATCTGTATTTTAATATTTTGTTTGAAAACTGCTTTTTAAAGTTCAAAGACTTCATTTCCGATTCCGTATGTGCATCATGATTGTTACTGCTTTTTAATAAATTTTTAGATGTCACGTGTTAAATATTTTGATAATACTCAACTTGGAATTACTTTAAAATAAGATCGGTGTGAAATTGATATCGAATATTCTAATAAACATTTTGTTTTTAATTGCGAGCTTTGTTTTAATAATTGTGAAGTTAATATCGATCGTATGTACCAAGTGCACAATTACAGGTAATCAAATGAATTAGTATCCCGAAAGTGTACTGCAATATGTAAGAGTTACATATTCATAACTAATAGACATTCCAGAAAACATACCGACGAAAGATATATCGAAGCATATTATTTTAGATATTTGGATTTAGATAGGAAATTAATTATGATTATAATTAGGAATAAATCGATAAAAACGACTTTCCTCCTTGTTCTATAATATTTTAACTTCTTTTTAATTTCAATCATGCTGTAATTTCTTCACATTGTTAATATTTAACAAAATTGTAATTAATAACATTATTATTCCTATAATTTATTATTCATAATATTTCCCACTTTTCCCAACAGTCTCTTATTAAAATTAAAATATTATTATATTATAAATAATGTGTACTTTTTCAACACAGAATAATAAATATATTATATCATTATTAATAGCTATACACTTACTTATAATTCTTTTATTATAAATTATTTTGAAATACTATCTGGAAAGACAATAAATAATAAAAAATAATTATCGAACTACATGTTTTATTTGCATGGAAAAGTACTATTATCAAAACTGTGTCTTCTTATCTGAAAACTAATGACTTTATTTCTCAGAAAATATTGTACAACAAAAGAATTATTTACAATACCTGAGGCTTTTGTAAACAAAATACATTTTGTACACCTCAAGGGAAATCAAAAGTAGTACAGAAAATATTGAAGAAAATGCCAATATTTTATATATCCGATTACGAAATAAGAAAGAATCTATCTAACGTAAAACATAGAACAGGAAGGAGACTCATACATCATCGTAACTGAACCGGTGCACAAAGGAAATTAAGGAAATTCCACAAACTGAAACAGTTATTGCACCTTAACGGGTACAATAGCAAGTATGCGCAGTACTTGATATCTTGAATATATATTATATAATTATAATTATAATTGACGCATAGACATTAAAAACGTGTAATATAACGTCACGTAATATTATGCAAGTAATTGTAAAAACTAAGATAGAGAATACGAGGTAGTGATATATGAATATTTCACACGGTACCAGAAATATTCGCATGAAATATTCGCACATATATTTGAGAGTTCTATTGTATATGGTCATTAAGTCTCGTTAATTCGTGGTTACGTAAGAAACATATTCCTCAAAAAAATCTAGTAATTTATGAAATTATTTTAATGATGTTCCATATCTTATTTTACGCATCGTAAAAGTACAAATTGTACTTGAATAATATATATTTCATAGAACGAATTTATTCGAAAATATCATAAAGAATATTTAAGCAGAAAATAAAGCGTGATAATAACTAAGATATAATTAAATATTTTTGAATAAAACTTGTATTTTGTGGATAAAAATTAACAGTCTTTTACTTAAAATAAAATATGAGTTAACTTAATTTGTTTTGCATAAATTAATCAGAAACTAGTATTTGCAAGAAAACTTATGTACGCGAATATTATATTATAGTATCTTCTGTGTAATAATAATGAGAGATTAAACTTTCAAGTTTGGAAAATCTAATCATAGAATATATTTAAAAAATAAAAATAATATTTACAAATTAATGACTTAAATAATTGCAGTAACAAATAGCTTGAAACTGTCAATCGTAAGTTTAAATATATAAGTGTAATGAATTGAGATCATAATATAATCTTGACGAATCAGTGACGATCTTATTATAATCACAGTTCACTTTTTCTCATTTTCATACCTATGTTAAATAATAAACAAGTTTTGCTTATTTATTTATTTTAATTTTGTTAATATTACTTTAGTGTTACAATTCACGCTTGAAAGTTTAAACTATTTAAAATATAAGAACGAATAAATTTTAATAAATTTAAATAGAGATTAAAACAGGGCAAAACACAAATTAAAAAAGATCAATCGCTCTGTTAAATAATGCGACTAGATTACGAATATTAATAACCGTCCCATTAAGATATTTTTCACACGACCAAGGGGAAATTATAAAGGTGAAAGGTATATTCAGTGAAGTGAACTGAGATCGCGAGATGTTCTCGAGGTAAGTTCATTGTTAAAAAAAGGTCACAAGAATATGTTTAACAAGTACCTCGTGAACGTTCTGTGCGAATGCATGCATGAAGTTTTGTATTTTGACATTTTAATGCGAGAGAACAATGTATTTCTATCGGTTCTATCGTTTTTACAAATGTAGCTGTATGTAATGTATCGTTGATAAACGTGCAAAGACCTACTAAAAAACAACCAATTTTTAAAAAGAAGAATATTTCACTAGATTTATTTGCATATGTCTAGAAAAAACTTTGAGCTAATTGTGACATATGTTATTTGTAATATGCATCGGAAAGAAATAGAAATATTTGAAAAATAATTTCAAATTTCAGAATTCGAATGTATGTAATTCTGCGACAAGCAATGCAAACTTTTAAAAAATTTTTTTAAATTGTAAATGAGAGAATCAGATTTCTATTTTGTATTTAAATTCTATTTTGTATATTAAATTATATATTAAATATACATATTAAATTTCACAAGCTGAATTTTCCGATATGGTTGTATAATAATATAAGATATATGTATAACGAATAATATCTTCTTACACATAAATGTTACAGAAACTAAGGATAGAATTCTAAAATGCATATAAACGGTTCAGCTGTTTAGTCAAGTAGATTTTGCGCGTTCGTCGATGATAACACAAACGCAATTTTGTTGCGACTATCATGGCAAGCATTCTCTCCTGTGTCCATGAAACTTCACGCGACCTCAATGGATTTCTTGGGAGACCTTATCTATCTAGACCTTATCTATCGAACTTTACTTGTACCTTATAAAGTTCCCATCTGGATAGATATGATATGATTTATATGATATGTATATTCTAAATAATGATCGAGCTAATTCAATCCATTTCTAAATACATACAATGGACCAAAATTTATCAGAACTAAGATGTTGACTCGATAAAGACTATTATCCTGCTTAAGCGCATTGAACTTAAGAGAAATAGAGCTTTCGCAAAATTTTCTAACGGGACAATAGTTTTTAGCTAGTTAATAACAATCAATTATTTTCTGCAGTTCTAATCTCATGTAAACTTCAAAACATGAGAATGGACATTATTTTTTCTGATTTATTAATAATCAGAATTTTCGCAGCGACAGTACAACTCTTCTGTATATTGAGTACTCACCTAA